GGGGGAGGAGGGTGGGTGTTTCTATATAGGGTGGCCGGCTATATTGACCATGTTGGGTGATGTGAGACACCCATGGCCGGCCACCTCGTGGCCAGTCAGGCCAGGATCACGGCCGTCTCCCAAGCGAAGCAACCGAGGGAGTTGTCTGCAGTGAATCACTGAATGAATGAATGAATGACAATGACCCATGATTTATTGATTCATTGTTTGAGTGACATGCAAGCACACGCTCGTGTGACTCGAGAATGACAGAGTGATTCGTTCGTTCATGCCTTATCCAGCGGCCCGTCCCATTGCAGAATCACTATCATTACACTGATGTGTGAGACCTCTAAAAAGGAACAGAGAGATCACAGGAGCGCAAGCTGAAGTCTATTTTCACCTGAGAAAAAGTCCGTTTCACATGATAACGAATTCTTGCGACTTACTTCGGCACGATCGGCATCGATTAGTCAGGCGCCAATAAACGACATACACGCGCGAGGTGGATGTATGGCTGTGTCTCTGTGGATGGGTGGATGTATGTAGCAAGAGCCCCACCACACATTTCAAAGTCTTGTCACAGCATCGGTCAGCCCACCACCGACAGACAACGACAATCCCATCTCACCTCTCTATGTCGATTCGTGTGCATAGTGCGAGTTGTGGGTGGCCGACCAGAGCTGCCGCAGCCCAGCATGTGCGAGTACCTCAGCCGCAAAGTCGTCGGACGAGTCGCAACCAAGACAGCACCCACAGAGAGACAGACAGAGAGAGAGGGCGGCTGCATGTCCTCTGTGTGGTGTGGTGTGGTGTGGTGTGGTGATGTGTAGCAATCAGAATGTGGGGTTCGCGTTCACGGTCGACGTGCCGCTGCTCGAGACCATTGAGTGGGACGGCATTGTCGGCCTGGACTTTGCAAAGTGACACCGCTCATGTACGATGCACACATAGATCGATGCAACTAGAGAGGCAGGGAGAGAGACGTGGCTGCCATATGTGTGTGTCAAGGAAACGATCATGAATGACGGGATTCTCACTAACTTCACCTACACACAGCAGACAGACAGACAGACAGACCACTTACATATGTGATGTCTCTCTTACCTGTGTATGTGTGGATGGTTGTGTAGATGTATGTGTGGATGTCTGTGGAGTTTCGGCGGGAGGACAGTCAGCATACAGACAAGTACATACGACAATTAAATCACTGTATGTTTCTGTGTGCCGATGCAGGCATAGCGACGGACGACGCCGACGAGACGGACACTCGGACAGGTTCACCGCACAGAGAGAGGGAGGAAGGTGTGGTGAGCGCGTAGGTGTTCCTGCGGCTCATGATCGGCTTCGTGCGAGACAAATGAAGGACAGCCATGCAGTGCGTCGATGGATAAGAATGGATAGTGGGAGGGAGGAAAGGTCATGACTGCATGTATGGGACCGTCTTCAATTGAGCATCACATGAACGTCTCACGCCATGCAACACATGAACGGCACGAACTCACAGGCAGACAGGCCGTCAGATTTCCATCTACCCACTGTATCGGAGAGATCGGATGCTGAGCTTATCATCTTGCTGCGAGCACAAGGTGATCGTGCCCTCCAGGCTGCTGAGCTGTGCAGGCACGGCAGACTCGAGCAGGCTGCGTGTGCTCGCGTCCAGGCCCCGCAGCTCGAGGAGCAGCGCCTTGCACTTGAGCTGCAGCAGCGATCTCGTACTCGAGCAGGCGAACTCGACAAAGTCGGAGACGCCAGCAGGAACTGACACACAGACAGACATTCGTATACAGGTCTCTTTGTGTGTCTGCTTGATCTTTCTCAGTGGGGCTATGTACCCTCCAACCCACCCACCTGTGAGATCGACAATCAGTGTGGTCATCTGAGGGAATCCCTCTCTAGGCTCCCCTATGTCGATACCCCCGCTGCCCACCCCCCGAATATCCATCGCAGCCACCATGTCGAGCTCCCGCTCACACCCAATCACCTTGATCGCCTCAAACGCCTGTTGCACCGGCACATCGCCCAGGACGCACAGCACCTGCAAGTTGGGCATCCTGTTGGCCAGCTGGGTGCCGGCCGCCAATGCCGTCTGCTTGTTGAGAACCAGCTCCGACACCTGCGGCATCGGCTGGATCTGCTCGATGATGGCGAGGGCAGGGGGGGCGGTGGCGGGGGCGGCCTGTGCAGGCTGGTCGACACCCAGCACAACCGCACTTGTGGCCTTGTTGAATGCGAGGCCTCTGGCCATGTCGAGCATCGCAGGCGTGGGCGGGGTGGCGAGGTCGGACCACCTGAGGTCCACTCGCACCACAGTCGCCTGGTCTGCCAGCTGGCTCATGAGGGTCTTGAGGACGGGGGAGGGGGCAGCGGGGAAGAAGGGGCGGTACAGGAGGTCCAGGTGAAACGACCCTATGCTGATGGAGACGCCCTCGATGCACACCGCACTGGCGAATGTCTGCAGGGCCTCGGCGAACTGGAAGACCCAGTTGCCCACAACCGTCGCGTCGATGAACTTGACCTTCAGCGACTTGAGGGACCGACGACAGCCTCGTGACACGAGGACAGACCCCAGCACCTAAGGAAGGAAAAGTATAGACACAGTATGTAAGTATCATTGCATCTGTTGTCCATTTTGTGATAGCCTGCTGACCTGCAACCTAGTGGACCAGACGTTCAACGCAACCAAATTGTTCATGTGGACGTTGGAGACCTCAATCGGCCCGATATCCTCCAAGTTCGCCAGCGGCCCCGGCTGTCCCTCCTCTGCAGCAACGGGCACCTGCTCCAGCACCTCGGCCTTCTGGTCGACCGTCGAGGGCACGTCGAACACCCTCAGGCACTCCGACGAGCCGACGAGTGGCCCCAGCGTGTAGATGTGCTCGTGCGCCTGCACCCGCTCCAGCGACGGGGCGCGCGCCAGCCGCGGTTGCCGATGCCACGGTGAGGATCTGGTCTGATCCACTCGGTTGCAGTGAGGCCGATGATGGATCTGAGGGCGGGGAGGGAGGGGGGCGAGGCACAGCTTGGGGGGAGGGTGGGGTTGGAGCGACCGACGGGGCACCAAAAGGCCGCGGGGCACAAAAGGCTCACCTGAAATGTGATTGTCGTGAGTGAGCCGTCGGGGATGTCGGCCGCCTCTCCCCGCCTCTTCGCCTCTGCTCTCTTCTCCGCGACCATGGCTGCGCGGCCCTCTGTGTGACCTTCGATGAGCGCCGTGACAACGTCAAGACACCAGGCGCGGTCGCCAGCCGGGTGACAGCACCAGATGCGGGTGAGGTTGGGCATGCGGCCGCCCCACCTCATGGCCACGTTGACGGGCATCGCCTGCCAGAAGGCCCTGTCGGCGGCCCTGGAGCAGGCGATGTCCGCCTGGCGGCACTGAGCCCCGGCCTCCGTGGCGATGCTCTTGTTGAAGAGCGGCCACACGCCATAGCCGGAGATGAGAACGAGGGCCTCGCGCGACAGACGCCTCCCAGTTACCGGTCCCTCATTGGTTGCACATCGTCCCGACTGATGGATCAAACGAAAGGATGTGCCGGTCGTGCCAGCCATCCTGCACACACCATCACTACCTCTACCCCCTGCACACAAATGGACGGCAGCGAAGCGGGCGATTTCTCCGTGTGTGCACTTCTCTCTCTCTGTCTGTGGGTGGGGTGGGTGTGTATGCCCAGCCAATGCCTGACCTCGGTTCTGACCTCTACTCACTGTATTCAATGCCTTGTCCATGCTTCAGTCCGTCGAGAAAGCCTCCCTGGTATTTGACCTTGCCCTGTATCCAAAACACCGGCATCTGAAGTGTTGATGGCCCCACTGTTCCCTAAGCCTCACTCACGTTATAGAAGTGTTCGATGACCTCTTCACTCTCGTCGATTTGGTCGTCCTTCCAGTGGCACTTCAAATGAGGCTTGCCGTTGGGGTAATAGGTGGTGCCGGGCCCGTTGCGCATTCCCTCGCTTCACTCGCCCTCGAACTTCTTGCAGCTTGTCCTGTGATCGTACTCGATCCCATGGCCATGACGCTCGCCGTCCATCCACCTTCCTTCATACCTGCGTAAGAAAATACGGGTGAGACGGGAAGAAAGCGGGTGAAAAGATGAAAGGTATTTTGCCTGATTGCTCACCAGGGAGTACATCCGTCCTCGTAGAAGAGTGTTCCCGAGCCCTCCTTCTTGCCTCTGGCCCAGCACCCCACGTAGACCTTCCGAGGGGCAACATTGCGGCCGCTCAGAGCTGAATGGTGGTTGCGATAATCGCCTGCAGACCCACATGTGGAGCGCGCAGACACAGATGGGCCGTTTGCGTATATCTGATCGTGCCATATACCGGTGACGTATTCGGTGCCGTATCCACATCTGAGTCCGAAAAGCATCTGGCCCTCATACCTGACGTTGCCCTGCATGTGAATGGCACAAAGACAGACAGGACGGTATGGAGACGCTCTTTTTCACGTTTCTCAGTATAATGCTCTTCATTCGCCCATGTGGACTCACTCACGTTGTCGAAGTATTCAATGACCTCCTTGCTGTCATCGACCTGGTCATCCTTCCAGTGGCACTTGAAGTGAGGGTTGCCGTTCGGAAAATAGGCTATGCCGACTCCGTTGCGCATTCCCTTGCTCCACTGGCCCTCGTACTCTTTCTTGTTGACCAAATCGCCGTCTCCTTCGTAGTATTTGATGCCCTTGCCGTGAAACGCACCCTCGCGCCAGTCTGAGGAACACAAGGAGGCATCAAAGTCTCTGTATTCGTGTCCTGTCGGATTGAGGTTCATCTTTCGCACCTCCCTCGTAGCGCTTGGCATTGGGGGGCACATCAGGATTGGGAGTGATGCCCGCAGACAGGACGCCCCAGCCCTCAGGCACCTGTGCCCACAAAGGCAAGATGGACCTCCTGGCAATGGATGAGTTTCATCCAGCCCCTTTGGTCCATGCTCACCCCATTTTGTATCATGCCCTCGTACTTGCCCTCGTACTTGCCCTGTGTCCTTTCGATTGTCGTGTCGCTGCTGGTGGGGAGCACCATGGCCTGGTGGTGCGTGTGCATTGGGGTGGGAGTTCCCGGCCGCATGACTGCTCGTCAAACGACGTGAAGGTCGGGGAGTGGCTGAACAAAGCTTGGGGTGAAGTCGGTATCCAAGGACCGTTGAATGGCGTCACCATAGGAAGATAAGGCACTGTTTTGCCCTGTTCCCTTCAAGTTTGGTTTGCGAGCTAGAACTGGGGGCCCCCCCGCGAGGCTCAGTCTCGGAAAAATGGCGTTAGCGGACACGGCAGGAGCCTCTCATGCGGCGGGCGGTGGTGGTGTGGGAGCCCAACCTCTTGTATTCGATCATGTGGCGCCGGCAACGCGACTGCTGGTCGATTGACCACGCTAACACGAGAATACCAGTGCTTTCACTGATTGTGGTGTGTGCAGGAGAAGAGGCGTCAGATGTATGAGGTTCAGGACGCCCTTGAGCAGCAGAAGGCCAAATACGCCGAGAAGGAGGAGCACTTCAGGAAGAAGGAGGAGCAGCTGAGGGCCAAGGACCTCCAGCTGCAGCACCAGCTGATCCGTTTCAACAAATTTCTGCAGGTCGGCGAATAAACGCACGTTTCCGTAGGAATGCATTCATGGCCTTCTGGCTGTCGTGCAGGACAATGAGGCCAAGAGGCGGCGTGCTGAGACAAGGGCAACAGAGGAGAGGTCACAGATCAAACAGAAAGAGGTGAGACAGCTCATCGGGGAGGCCGTATTCACGCACGTCTTCTTTCGTGTGCCGCAGGAGGAGATCGCCGAGTTGGAAGATCAGCTTGAAACCGGCCGCAAGCAGCTACAGGACCTGGAGGAACAAGTCAAGAAAAGTGCGTGCCAAAGACGCGGCGAACAATTTTGGTCATCCGTACGGTGTCTGCCCCCTCTCATCAGACATGAAATACGAGGAGTTTCTTGAGCAGGTGAAGATCGATAACGATGAGTTCGCTGAGATCACGGACCTTCTAACACGATATGACACGCTTGACAATGCCAACCAAGATCTACTTGACAGCCAGGTGTGGTCGACATCCACTGGGGATTTATCACCTTCGTCGGATATATGCCTCAGGGTGTGTTGATAGAGAAGAATGAGGATGTGCGCAGCCAGTTTCAGACATACAAGAAAGACACGGCCAACCAAATCCTGGTGAGAAGGAGAAGCCTGAGACAGTGATCGATCGACGACCATGTCTCTACGTGTGCCAATGTCAGGCCTACAACAACCGCATAGCTGCCCTGCAGCGTGACATTGAAGACCTGCATAAGAGAAGAGGCCACCTCCAGCACCTTGTCAGTGGAACGTAGAGAGCTCCATCAAATGGATCGACGACGGAGACATGTCTCTTTGCCCTTTGTTCAGGCTGACGAGGCCGTCCAGTCCGACTCGCAGCAGTCGCTGCACGTCGGGCAGATACTCACGTAAACCAAGAACAAGGCATCATTCACCCACGTATGGACGTTTCTTTTCCCCTTGTGTGTGTGTGTCCGTTCCAGCTCAGTGGAGAATCTGTTTGAGCGTTGTGTGAGCAAGCGCCCCGCCATCCAGCACGCCAACGAGCTGGAGGGGCTGCAGCTCCAACTAAATCTCACCGGGTAGGTTGGACAGAAATCCCCAAGAGCCCATATGCACTGCTGCTGTTCATGTCTTCCTTGATCAGTCGTGGTGACGCCAAGGGCGGTGAGAGTGCTGGTGGCGCTGGTGCGACCAGTGCTGGCAGCATGAGTGGGGACGAGTCGTCGGACAGAGCTAAGGGATCGTCCAAGAAGGGGGACGAGGGGGGCGAGAGTGAAGACGATATCACACAGAGACAGGCTAAGGTGATTGAGAAAAAGAACACACACCATGTCGCCCTCCCTTCTCTTATTCTCACTCTGAATGCATTGACGGACAGAATGCCATCAAGCAGCTGCACGTTATCAAGGCCTACATTGTTGACTTCATGCACATATGCAAGGCACGCAACACTCAGGAGACGGCTCCCCTTTATCGCCATCCTTTGAGGTGTCTCCATCTGTGTCTGTCCGCAGGAGCTGACAGCAGCCCGGAAGGGCACCGGGCGGCCGACGATGCTGCCTCTTGCCATTGATGAGGGCAAGCAGGACAAGGTGGAGTTCCTGTTGTTCAAAGACCTACACAGAATGCACGACACTGGCGGGAGTCAACATTCTTACTCGAGAGTGCATGGCAGAAGTGCCACCGAATCTGGTGAGAGCATTTTGCGACACCACAGACACCACAGGTGTACGTGTAATGATTGTATGTTGTGTGTTGTGTGTTGTGTTGTGTTGCAGCGTCGTCCATTGTGAGCCCCACCTTGAGCAAGTCGATTCTGTCGCAGCAGAGATGAGGGATATGGTGGGTGGCGTGGGAGGGTCAGGGGTGGGAGGTTCTTTGCTGCACGGGCTGGATAAGGATGAGATCCGTCTCTGTCGAACGGCGTGTGAACCCATCCATGGTGTTTCATTCATGTCTGTGCTCTTTCCTGTGGCTCACTTCGTACCTTCGTGCGTGAATCTACGGAAGCGGGAGGTGTGCGTAATTCCTCGCACTCGGTTACGGCACGTGTTACGGCCGCTCTTCCTGATTCGTGCGCAAGATTGTTGACGTGTGGGGAACAATTTGTTAACCGCCCACCCACTACCCGCTGCTGTCAGTTTGTTGTGCACAGCATCACTGAATGGGACAGGGCGGCTCATTGGGGTGCACTTCTGTGTGGGTGGGTGGGTGACTGTGAATGTGCGGTCGATTGACTGAATCAGACACATGCTTATTCCATGGGATGATGAGTTCACTCAACGGCCGTCTTAACGCCACACACAAGCAGACACACTCGACCACACAGTCACCGAGAGAGAGAGAGAGAGAGAGAGAGAGTTATGGCAGGCAGGTGAGTCAGCCAGGCAGCCAAGCACACTCACACATCGGCCGGCGCGTCACATCGAAATCGGCCGGCAGTCGACCGGACTGCACCAGTTGCACTCACACCCACACCCACAGGCAGCCAGCCATTCGGTCACACAGCAGCAGCAGCAGCTGGTCCACACAGTGAGCGGTGGGCGATGTGTCCTGAAGAACAAACCGATCGGCGACAGAGACGACTGACGACGGCCCAACTTGAGATGCCCTCCTGACAACACACACACACACAGACGGGCAGGGCGGCACTCAGCCACATGGTGACAGAGGGGATGTATCGCTGCGCACCCACCAGTGCGTGTCGACTGATGGGTCGGTCAGCCGCCGCCCTCCGCCTCAGCCGCGCCACCCTCACCTGCCCAAGGCAACACACACACACACACACACTGACGCAGGTCGACGTGGGGGCATCTGTGGTGTGTGCGGCTGTGTACCTCCGCCGCCCTCATCTCCGTCGCCCTCTCCGCTGCCCTCATCTGTGCACAGAGAGAGAGGGCACGTCATCTTCCATCCATCCGATGAATGGTTGAATGTGTTCCTCCCTTCGGCCGTACCATTGTCATCCCCCTGTTGCTGTTGCTGCTGCTGCTGCTGCTGTTGTTGTTGTTGCTGCTGCTGTTGCTGTTGTTGCTGCTGTTGTTGTTGTTGCTGCTGCTGTTGCTGTTGTTGCTGCTGTTGTTGTACTTGTCCGTCGAATACGAATTGCGCCACCGCCCCCAACGCCACGCGAGCCAGCTGAGTGGTCGCCGGGAAGCGGTGCTTGAACAGACCACTCCCACACACAGGCGCCTCAGTGGTCCTGATACGAACAGTCACTGCAGACAATAGGAGGAAAAGACGCGACATGTGTGACCAGCAGCACTCCCCCTCTCTCACGCTGACCGTCGAACGCCTGCCAGATGGAAATCCATCCGACGAAGGGGTGGCTCCCGTCGGTGAGCACCAGCCATCGCTCAATACCGAAGGTGATTGTGGTCGTGCAGCCGGCCACTGGTGTGTGGGGCGACTCGGTGAGGAGGTCATTCAGAAGGCCACCCTTGACATACCTGAACAGACAGACACCAACAAACGACTTGTGGTGTGCCCTCCCGACCCCCTTGATTCCGTTGGTGTGTTACCTCTCGAGTGTTGTCACTGTGTCATTGGTATTGTTCAATGAAACGTTGTAGTAGAAGTACTTGAGGATCTCATACTTGGCCCACGACGATACTGACGCATTGCAGCGCCCCGTGCCAGGAATCAACACCCATGTGGACGTGTAAAAGATGATGTTGTGTACCGGTGGGTCGTGTGGCTGCCGGTGTTGCTGGTACAGGTGGTCGGCAGGGAGGGGCGGGTCGACCTCCAGCTCGAAGCCGGGCTCGTCCTTGATGGCCCGCACCACACCGTTATCGTGTTGGAACAGCTGCAGGCAGGTGCCGTCACTGAAGTGGACGTGGCGGCCGACCATCTGGAGCTGCGCCAACACACGGGGAGCCGACACATACGCCTACACACAGAACCGCACACAAACACACAAACACACAGACACACAGACAGAATGAGGCCTCCTCCGTCCCCTCGCCTCCCGGCCCCTCTGTTTGCCGGCTCACCGTTATGTTTGCGTGTGTGTTGATGTCAGCCCCACTGAGGGTCACAGGCAGCTCACAGTTGCCGCACTGCTCCCCCAGCTCAATCACCTCGCCCACCTCGCCCCAGTCCCCTTCCTCCACCACACACACAGCCGCCAGCAGATCATGTTTGCCGAACTGGTCGTCGTCGAACCGCAGCAGCTGCA